GTATGTGATTTTTATTTGGATATATCATAAACATTGTTAAATATGAAACATTAATTTATCACATAGAATTTGTTATGCGTGAGTTGGTTATGCAAGAAAATTGTTGATTTTAAAAGAAGAGAAATAAATTCTACATGTTTGAATTCACTTCATAAAATAAAAGTTAGTCATGACAAATTTGTTTGATCGTGGTTGCCGATTGCTATAAATGTTTAATGAATTAAATATATTTTAGATATATTTAAGTGAAAGTAAAACTTTAAATTAAAAAGGTTAGCAAATGAATGACAAAAGTGTCATGATGATAGTTTATCGAAACTATCAAGAATATAGAACATTTGTATATGGAAATTGTACTAATATGACAAAAGTGTTATGATTTGATGATAGATGACAAATACTATCAAGAGTATATAAAGTAATCATATGCATTATTAGTTGAAAAGTTGAATATTTGGAATTTATTAAAGTCTGAAAAAATCTTTCAATTCTTTGACGAAAGGATTGACAAAGATATGATGTCTTTGGATATAATTGAATACAATGAAGACATCATTAGGAATGCGGAATAAGCCCGTATCTAGTTAATCATCAATAGTGGAAACTCAACTCACACATGATTAATGTTAAGTCTTGAGTTCAATATGATGATAGTTTATCGAAACTATCAAGAATATAGAACATATGTTGTATATGGAAATTGTACTAATATGACAAAAGTGTTATGATTTGATGATAGATGACAAATACTATCAAAAGTATATAAAGTAATCATATGCATTATTAGTTGAAAAGTTGAATATTCAGAATTCATTAAAGTCTGAAAAAATCTTTCAATTCTTTGACGAAAGGATTGACAAAGATATGATGTCTTTGGATATAATTGAATACAATGAACACATCATTAGGAATGCGGAATAAGCCTGTATCTAGTTAATCATCAATAGTGGAAACTCAACTCACACATGATTAATGTTAAGTCTTGAGTTCAATGATGAATGTACACTGTTAGAGTGATTGAAGCACTTAATGATAGATACATCTCAAGGGGGTAAAAGTACTTGGACCATAAGAATAAGTGCGGTAGGATGATGTTTTTCTCTTAATAGACATATAACATATGTTTGCTGGAATGCATAATTATGGGTGCATTTCTGATATAGTCTACCTATATGAGAATGATGTGGTGTCGCTTCATAGAGTTTAAGGGCTTGACTCTTAAATTCTCATGAAAAGGATATGAGACACAATGCCTTATTAAATGTGTCATATTAATAATTCGATCAATGGTACTGAGATTTTATGTGTGAGTTATGCACGCTTGTTCTAATGAATAATTGGTTCAAAGTTTGTCTACCAATCTATTTGGGGATGAGTGAAAACTTAACTTACTAAGTATTGGTTCAAATCGTAAGATACATTTATCTGAAATCATGAAATTTCCTGAATAATGGATTTAGATATATTTTGAAAATGGTGGGGGATTGTTGGAGAAATTTCCAAAATATTAAATTGATAAATAATAATGGTTAAATTAATAAAATAAATGGCCAAAAGTTGCAACTGTCTAGAATAGAGACCCTGTAATGATTGGGTGCGTGGTCAAAAGGTGCAACCACCGAATTAACACAACTTTTCATTAAAAAGTTTGTTGTTATTGATATACAATGGTTCACGAATGGTCATGTTGGAATCAAATGAAACATTGTTTCTTCTCACCAATTGATACAAGTTTTTCTATAAATAGAGATACTTGTTAGGCATAAAATATACACAAAAATTACTTGTTTCAAATGACAAATATTATATCTAAGTCATTCTTTTATTTTTCTAGTGCACAAGAATAAATAATGGAACTTTATTCTGTAAAATAATGTTGATCGATATGCTTAATGTGAATGTGCGATTCATGTTAGGGTTTCAAAAGTATCCTGAAGAAGACTCGTCGGTTAACCCTTTTGCATCCAATTTGCATAAAATGGTGGGAGCGAATCGAACCTAAAGCTTAGTGTAAACACACTCTTTGAAATTTATTTTGTGCAACTTTTATCATACTGTTTTCATCTTCTTATTGTTCATGTTTTGCAGCAAACCCCCAACACAAGATCTAACAAAAACTTGGATAGAATTTTCATACCATGGATAGCATTTTTCTATTGAAGATTAAAAAACCATTGTGATGGGATGTTAATGAAAATTGTTGTGTTTGTTGTTGTAATATAGTCAATTTAATGCAATGGCTAAAAGGGTCGTGGACATTCATAACAAGTAACACACGATATTTTCAAGGATAAAAGCTCTTAAAACACTAAACAAATCTTGCAAACTCGATTTTTGGAAGGATCTAAGAAGTTAATAAAACAACAAACAATTTTATGACAGGTTTTTCAATCCATAACTACAACTAAACAATAAGAAAAAAATGCATTTGAAATAGTATATTACGAAAATTTGATCAGACATCTGACTTGCTAGACAAGATAGACTAGTACACGTATGCAAGAGAGATATAAAACATGTTACATCGATTCATTTTATTTCCAACAACAAGAACATTTGAAAAGGTTCAATTGTTTGAAATAAAAAATTTAAGTACATGGATTCATCAACTAGTTAAGTTGATAAATATAATCCGCATAAATAACAACCTTTAGGCTGTTAGATCTTTTACCCCACACTAACTAAAAATGGTCATTCTTCTAGGACAATGATGTATCTCTTTGATTCTGGGATGAGAGTGAAATCATACCATTATCTTGACTCGAAATGAGAACGAAACAATTTATGTTGCTAGGTCATTTATCCCTCGCCAACCAAAAATAAACTCGTCTTCTAAAATTAGAAATATATCCCTTTCATTCTTGATGAGAACGGAATTATACTATTATCTTAACTCAAAATGCGAACAAAGCAACCAAAAATAGGCTCATTATAAGTGTTGTATCCGATGAGTGTGAAATTGTACCTATTGCAAAAATATTTTTTGTATAAAGTTGTGTGCCTAATGAAATCACTCTAAAATATATTTATACTAATATGAGTTGTATGCAATAATAAAATGCATTTAATGCAATTGATACAAACTAATTCTAATTGATACACATTAATTCTAATTGATTTTTAAAAATACCATTATCTTGACTCAGAATGAGAGCAAAATTTAAACCCTAACGCCATGTTAGAACAAATGGAACAATTAAGATTTCAAAATGAATGAAGAAGAAGAGAGAAAAGAGAAAATATTATTAAATAAAAACGGAAGTGATTTCAATGAAGTTGTTATATAAAAAACTACAAAAATATAAGTCTATATATAAAGATCAAACATACATCATAAGCCCACTTTGACATAACAACTACATACCCCTCAGCATAATGGCATAACTGAGAGGAGTAATAGAAGTATACCGAACATTACTAAGAGAATGTTGAAAGTTAAAGAAAGGCCAAACATTTTGGGGTGAAGCACCTTCATCAACAATATACATTCTAAACAGATGTTCAACGAAGAAAATAATCGAAAAGACGCGCCTTATGAGGGTTGCATAGGACAAAAGGAAAATGTTGGTCATTTTAGAGTATGTGGATCAATGTGCTTCATTGTAGATATAATATAGTTCACGGTTTCACATCTTGAAATTTGAAGATGACTTTCATTTGCGCAACTCACCTCTCATAGTTCTTTCCTTTGAAAATTGGTAGATTTGTTGAAAATTATATTGATGTTGTATTATCATTTGTCATTTCAAAATTTCTCTAAATCGCTACCGAACTCGTTGATACCAGTTTGTTAGAACAGATAGAACAATTAGAATTATTAAGTAAAAATTAAATATATGAAAAACTACAGACATACCTACACATAAGCAACCAAGGTCCAAATCCAAAACATACAATTCAAAACCAAAACATACAATTCAAACTTACTTTGACAAAACAATTATATATTATATTCGATTATGTTGAATACAACTGACTCGTCTCGACAACTACATAGATTAAATATTCCACAATTGAAAACATTTTTCTTCTAAATAATAAATTATAACTTTTAACACGCTCCACATTTTTCATGCACTCCAACTTTCTTTTTAAATAAAAGTTACTCTAACTAGATTAATACATATTGACAACAAAATTGAATCTTAAAGATTTTTAATATTATATTTTGATATTATTTATTTTTTCTACCAGCGTTTTATATGCTGACTGACTGAAACACACATTTAGTGTTAATCCTTCAATTCATAGAAAAATTGAAACACTTGAATGAGAAGATAACTAAAACCTAAATAAAAAGTTATGTTCCACTCACAAATCCAATATAGCTAAGCATACATATTTATTATAGTTCACAATTAAACAAACAATTTTACCATAAACACATTTTCCACTGACAAAAGTGATTACCAAAAGAAATTGAGATAGCATTATTATATATATCATATACTACTAGTGTGACAGACTGTTAGTATTAACTTGTATAACTGTTACAATGAACCCAATTTAGTTAGCTTGAGCATTAACTCATGGAAGCCTCAGCATCGTACACTAAACAAAAGCTATGTATATTACTGTCACGTTAACAGATCCATTACAAAGAAAGGACTATGGCGGCACTGTTATAGGATCTGACACTTCTGATCACTTTGCAAGCAAAGCAAAAAGAGAGGAGACCACTTTCGCTGTAACCGATTTGACACCCATCATTCCATCTTCACTTTCTTGTCCCAACACAACACTCACTCACAGTTATAGAAGGAAAAAAGCCATGATAAAGATAGAAAAAAAAACTAGATAAAAACTTAAAATGGATTATAAAAAACATAACAACATCCATAAATAATATAATACACCTATCTATTTTGTTAGTGGGTCTGATCATCACTCCAAAGTTCAAACATCCAAAAGATAAAGATGAGAAAAAGGTAAAAAAATAAAAATAAATAAACATTAAAGAAACTAAACTAAATTAAGAACATCACAAATTCACAACCCCTTTACCATGATCCACCACCTAACATACCATTCCAATAACCAGTTGAATCACCTTGGCTTCTATTATTCTGCTGATGATGATGTTGTTCAAACTCACCACTATTTGGAACTTGTTGCTTGTTATTATTCAACTCCTCCACAACAGGAAACAACATCCTTGCACCACCACCACCACCAGAACTCTCTTGATTATTAATCCCTTGTAAACCGGCATAACCATTCTCAAATCCTTCTAAGCTAAAATTAAGACCAGGCTTAAAATCTTGCAAAGCGAAACCAGTTGAATTATACATTGCACTAGACTCAGATAATGAGATAGGCATAAAAGAATTCAAACCCCTCGATGAAGAAGCAGCAGCAATCCCGGTTTTGAGCAGCTCCATAGCGGAAAGCGGCGAGGACGATGAATTAGTAGTATTTTGATGATGAGTTTTTTCTTGTTCGGTGGTATACGGAAGTTCAATGAATTTAGATATGGTGTTATAGCTATCATCACTTGGTGGTGGAGGATAAGCTAGGTTAAGATCCTGTCCTTGATGGATCTTAGGGTTTTGAGAAGCAGATTGAGGAAAGCTATTATTGTGTGAGGCAGAAAGATCAGGAATAGTAATATTTTTTGTTATTGATGATGGTGGTGGTTGATGTGAAATGGAAGGTGATGGTGATGGTGATGATCTTTTGTTTTTTCTTGAACCACCACCTACAGGCACATTTCTCAAAGAACCACCTTCAGTCCAATACCTTCTGCAGGTTTTGCAGAAGTACCTTGGTTGAGAGAGACTATAGTTATTATAGTAACAGAATTTTGTGTTGGTTGAGTTGCACCTTGGACAGTTCAAAGCTTGATCTTTTTGTGGCCTTGCTCTTCTCTCTATCATAGGAGCTTTTGAGCCTTCCATTTGTTTAACCAGTCCAATATTCCCCTAAATATAAATCCAAATTTCAAAAAAGGAGATGAAAAGTTCATAATAAGATAGAAAGGAAACAAACAAGAGAAGAAGGTATAGCAATAATACAAACAAATTTATCAACTTTTTCTTAGGGTCCTTTAGTTCTTTATCAGAAAAACTTGGAAAAAGAAAGGTGAAGTACAGTTAATTAAATGAAGGAAAAGGATCTAAAAAAAAGACAAGAACAAACAATGAAAATTTCTGTTAAGGATCAGGAAAAAAAGTAATAAAGGATATATATAAAGTGAAACTTTCCTTAGAACTATCAATAATCAAGATAATTTATGAAACAAAAAAGCTTTATTATGGTTGATAATTAATTACAAATTCAAGATCAAAATAATCAAAGATAATTTTTCCATGATTATAACAAGGAAAAAAAGAAAAGAAAAAGGTATTATGTTTACCTGTGCCCACTGAGTTGTGTCCATTGATTTAAGATGAAAAATGGAAAAAAGGAAAAGTTATATGAGTGTTGTTCAGAGAAAGAAAAACACCCACTTTTTTCTAGTTTCTAGAGGAGAGTGAAAAGCACAAAGCTTTTGGAAGATGGAATTGGAATATAGTAGTAGTGGTGTGGTGTGGTGAGGTAATGGTAGTGGTTCCATTTCCATGAAGGGGTAAGATAGTAATTTCGAAAATATTCTAATTATACTATATGATGTGATGACACGTACTTGAAATTTGTGTACATGACATGAAGCCTACTTGTGTGATAAATAAAGTATTTTACATAAGTCAATAATATTCTTCTTTGGTGTCTTTTTGTAGAAGCTAGCACAGTGTTAAATTTTTTTAGTCGGTTAAGATCATCAGAGAAGGAGAAATGCCTTTTTCTTCGTACTATTCTTGTTCATCAAGTGTTTTGACTAATTACTAATACTTTTTTCCACCCATTATTTGCAATATAATAATAATTACTAGAGTAATTTTTTAAAAAATTGAAATATTTTTATATGTGAAATACAGAAGCTAGTTGCAGAAGTAGTACAGCATTTTAGATCATGTTCTGCAGTTATGTGAAGAGGAATTTAAATGTACTTATGTTAAATTAAACTTCTGTATGAAAGGAAACATTAAAGTGAGTATGAAATTGAAATGAACTCTTAAATGCTCCTCTACGTTTCCTTGACTGAAAAGAATATATTCGATATCATTGTATCCGTGCATAAGTAGACAGTGATCAATGCAATTCATGCCATAGAATATATAAAAAATAATAGTTTTATATCAAAGTTTTGATGCTAATAATCATGTGTTTTAAATTTTATATTATATTAATAAAACATAAATAAAAATAAATATATGTAATTTTACGTAGAATAGAGTCCCTAAAATGGACTACCCGATCCGCTTTGGACCCACATGTGGTGGAGTATTTAACTTGATACCTCCTATTTGAACCCGATACTCCGCCATTGCATATGAAAAGATGATATAGTCATATTAAAATAATTTCACCTACTTTTAAAATTTACAATAGGCGAGAATCTAAAATTTGTGGTGCTATACCGAAAATTTGAAGCAGCATATCGGAAACTTCAAAAACAGTCAATTTTGGTACCAAACATTACAAAATTTTTAGTATTTTATACTAGAAATTTCAAAATTTTCGGTGTTTATTATTAAATGTTTATCGGAAATTTCAAAATTTTCGATATAAAATTTTATGAAAAATTCCAAAAATTTCAATAGTTATAAAAAATTATTTCTACTGAAAGTTATGAAATTTTCAGTATTGATAAAAACTTTGTTTTTTACCAGAAATTCAGAATTTATGGTAGTTATAAAAACTTTGTTTTTTATCGGAAATTCTGAAATTTTTGGTAGTTACTATTTTTTTCTTCTTCTAATTTTTCCTTCTTTTGCAGTGAAATACAGAGGCAGGGACGACACTATTGCAGGGAGAACTATTGATAGAGTGGCTGACCAGGGTAAGACAATTAGGGGTGCTGAGGTTGAGTCTTCCCAGATATGGATTGGACGAGTGGTCCCAATCGATTTACACCGAAAGTTGTTGGCTGAGCAGGATGGCCAGTTTTGCGCACCTCGTTGCACTCGACATCAGCCTATACGATTAACATAGCAACATAGAGATGAAGTGGTGCAGCCAGATGTTGTTGTTGCTGATCCGGTGGTTGTTGATCCAGTGGTTGTTGAGGAGGGTGCATATCTGGTAGTTGAGAAGGTTGTTTTGAAGGAGGTTGCTAATGATGCTATTGTTGATGATGTTGTTACTCGGATGGTCCAGCCAGATTTGGTCTCACCTATTACTGCTGACACGAAGGTTACAACTCCTTCGACTGAGCCCTTTGTGCTAACCGATGGAGGATTCCCTGGAGGACCCATTGACCGTCAGTGCTTACTGAGTATGTTGACCATGTGGCGTTACGGGCAGGGAGAGGTATATGTCTTTTATGTTTAATTTTTTAAATTATTGTGCCATGAAAACTATCAGCTAATTTGTTTATATTTTTTTGTCACATGAGCGTCCCACATTGAAGGTGACATCACACAGATCGAAGATGAAGGACTTCCCACATTGAAGGTCAGTCGCATTATATGGGAGTTCGAGCTGCTTGATTTTTCCCACTGCTCCCTCACCATGCTTGACGCTCCACTACTTAGTGCTTTTGTTGAGAGATGACACAATGGGACATCTTCATTTCATCTTTCGTTTGATGAGATGATTATCACTCTAGATGATGTCTTCTCATTGTTCCATCTCCTCATAGGCGGAAGATTCTAGACGACTCCCATTCTTAGAATGTCCTTTACATGTCAGACTGCTGCACAAGATTTGGGAGTGTTTGAGGCGGAGGTGCATAAGGAGTTTGGCATTAACAGGGGCGCGCACTTTCGTATGTCTTGGCTTCCAAAGACATACGATCTTTCTCACCTTTTTGTTTTCGGCATCGGGCGACAATTCATTCAACTTGGATGTCAGGCCAGCAAGAGATGTGGTGCCATCCGGAAGTCGGAACTTTAGAAGAGGTGAAGCTCTATTGAAGTACACTTCTGCCTTAATAAAAAATTGAGGAAAAGACATTTTTTGAGATGTTTTTATCAAACAACATGTGACCCTTATTTATACAACTTTGCGTTTACTTTGGACCATACAAAACTATTGGTGCAATCATAACCATCCAAAATTGTTGGCAAAATTCTGAACGTCCAAAAAATCAACAAATAACACTACCGAAAATTTCACTTAGGTTGAAATTTCCAGTATCAACTAGTAAATTTCAAATTTCCAGAATTTATTGAAACATACTAGAAATGACCAAATTTTGGTATACCATAAATTTTGGTCTGTACCAGAAATTTCATTTAGCCAACAGAAATTTTGAGCGAAAATTTGGACTAATTTTTAGCCAGGGGCAACTTTGGGAATATAAAAGTGTGGGGGTGCCGAGTATAATTTGGGGGGTGACAAGTTAAAATCTTTGTGGTGGGTGCGGATCTTTAGCAGACTTGGCTAAAAAGTTCAAAGATATGGAGGATTTCTTAATGCACCCTATATGTTTCTTATGCATCGCACAAATTTCTAACAATGCCTCTCGTTTCCGGAGATGTATCTCCAGCTGCACCCCAACATACACTCAACAAAGACCATTATGAGTTACGCCCTATTTCTTATTTACTTTATTTTGGAGATACATCTTCGAAATGTTTCCGTAGTTACATTTTTGTAACACAGATACATCAGTATAAGAGTCAAAACCATGTAATTTTTCAAAATGAAATTAACATTCATGGCATAAAATAAGCATTACATAGATGATTTCAACATAAAGTAACCATGTAAAATAAGCATTATGTAGTTACATTACTGTGAAGTCAAGCTTTTCAAAGTATTTTGATGAGGACAACTCAACAAGCAAGTAAGATCGTCAAAAAGGAAATGGTTCAAGACTCCTGGCACAAGTCAAGTTTCAAGTAAAATCAAGTCTTGAAGAATCTCTTTGGTTTGATCAAAATTGTTAAGGTAATAGCACACAACCTCTCTTTGAATATACAAGTGATCAAGATCATCTTTCATTCATGCCATGTTCCATTAAAATGTTTCTACAAATTAAACCATTGCATTTCATCTCTTTTCTCATGCATTTTCATATTCTGGACTACTGGTAATCGGTTATCAGTTTCATAGTAACCAATTACCATACTGCAACGTTACATACTGTGGCAATTTTCATGGGGTGTAATTGGTTACCCCTTTTTGAGTAACCAGTTACACTGAGTAATTTTTCATAAATTTTGTAATGTTGTGAACGGTATAATCAGTTACACCATATAGGGTAATTAATTACCACTGTATCAATGCCTGAAAATATGTTATTTTTTCATTCAAATGGTTTTCAAAATATGTCCTTGAAGCATGACATCCTTTCACTCATTGCACTCATTTGTAGAGGTGTGCAGAGGCTATTTAAACACCAAATCTTCAGATTTTCAATCCACATTTTTCATCTACAATTAAAACACTTTTTATTCTCTTTATCTTTCAAAATTCATAAGTGTTTCATACTAGAATTTTTATTGAAACTTTCTGCACTTTATTTTCATTGAAAAATTATCATAAGTTTCATTCCATACATTGTGAACAATTGTATATCATTGAGGAAATTGTATGCTTGAAGGAGAAGATCTATCAAGAGATTGATATATTGTAATTTTCATTTCAAACTCTTGTAAAAATTTAGAATACTTGTTGTAATTCTTGTTGTCCAGGATTGTTGGAAACAAGAGGTTCATTGAGGAAAGATTGTTCTCTTAGTGGACTTAGTGAAAAATCCAAGAGGATTGTTCTTGGTGTTTTTTAGTGTATGTACAGGAAGACTAGGATAGTCATGTATTAGTCCTAACAATAGTAAAATCTCTTACTGCGTAAGAGGACTGCAATACTCTCGAGTAGTGAGGGGAACCAGGATATATCGCTGTGTCTTTTATCTTTTCGTACTTTATCGCTTTCATCACTTAGTATCTGAATCGGAAAAATAATAAGACATAAGTAAAAAACTGAAATAATTTTAAAGTACCTAATTCACCTCCCTCTTAGGTGCAAACTCTACTTACAATTATGAAAGACCCAAGGCAATTTGGGTACTTAATAAAACTTAATTTGTTTTGTAGGTATGCTTGAAGACCACTTCTAATTTATGGTATATTGATAATGGTTGTTCAAAGCATGTGACGAGAGATATAAGCAAATTTTTAGATCTAGTGCTTAAGGCCAGGTTATGTTACATATCGAGATAACAAGAAAGGAAAGATTCTTGGCATAGGCAAAGTTGGAGCACCACATTTCACATCCATTGAAGATGTTTTTTTATGTCGAAGGACTAAAGCACAATCTTCTAAGCATTAGCCAACTTTGTGGCAGGCAAAACAAGACTAGAAACTAGGCACATATTGTCTGCATTTACGT